GCGACATCAGCGCGACAGCTACAATAAACAAACCACACTGTTTCTCTTGTTCAAAATTTGTTTGTCTTTTAATCAAATATTTTTTTATTAGATAGCTTTGCTATTACTTCTCTCAAGGGGATTCACATTAAAAGAAGGGTTATATTTCAAATTTTAATATTACATATATATTTTAGTTTCCTAATTTGAATACAAACATTAAAATATTTAAAGAAAAAATTTAAACAAAGGAAGAGAGTAGATACAGATAAAGAATTAACTCCTTTGAAGAGTAACACAAGAATCAAGAAGAGCTGGTTCAATCTGAGGCCATCTTATTTTGTACACTGATTCTGTCAAGAGTATAGCAATTGAAGCATCAGCTTTCCCTGACAGACTGCCTCTTTAATCGGAAGAGAGAGATGCGTGCAGTAAAAACTGCATCTCCTCCTCATTGAGAATCTTTTTCAACTTGTGGAACTTCGCTTTAAGGTCTCTTTTAGCTTTCATTTCTAGAAGAAAAAAAACATTGCGTGTATGTATTATATAACGTGTAATAGTTCTTTACATGTATGTATATGTTCTGTAATGTGTATCATAGATTTCACAAGCAGTACTTTTTATGCTAAAATACAGAAACAACTACAATGTATTATAAATAATAATTACTTACTTCTAGGTAAAAAGTCAGTAGCAAGAAATATAAGTAGAATAGACTTGCTTGGTACCAATTTATCTACGTCTTCCAACAAAGTGTAGAGAAATAGCCAAAGTCAGAGTGCTTGACTGAATTTGAATGTTTTCAAAACAATAACCAGATTTGAAACCTGAATGTTTATTGGTTGATGAATAAGTTTGCTGAAAGACAAGTAGGATTTCATAACCATGTGCACCAATAGGATCTTTGTACACCTAAATTTCTAAAATCCCAGAAGGATTAACAATATTCCAAGAATTGTGATATTTATTGTATCGGCACCGAGCCATATAATAAATATTTTTAACAGATTCAAAGTGCAGTCTTATTGCTCTGGAGATTACTTGTAAAACACTTTAGGGTACATATATAAGCTGATAAATTCCACATACTGTTATTGGCATAAATGTTTTCACAGATTCTAAGTGCAGTGTGATTACTTAAGTTAAATTTCCTAGTAAACACTGTAAGATATATAATCTGATACGTTAGACATCCTTTTCTCAAAGTAGGGTTCAAGTCGGCTATCCCGTTGCACGTGCTTTGTTGCTTTCAAAGGTATCGTATTACGGTGTCACGTAAACAGTCCACTGACACAATTTATTGCTTCATTTTCGGTGGATTTCTACTTCGGTCATAGACAGTAAAATACACATAGAAAATAGATGTGAAATGCTCAGCAGTTTAAACTCCCAAGAGAAGTACTTTACAATCTTATGAACAATAATCAAGAAAACAGGGCAAAGCTGCTCATTTTATTTCTGATTTTACAACTTTTCATTATACTTTGATTTGTCTACTGGCTGAAGAATGAAATATACGGTTGCGGTAGAGGTAATAACAGATGAAATATAAAGTTTTACTGTAAAAAAAATGGGGGAGGTATTTTTATTAAGGAGGTTTTAGCAATTACGAAAAATGAAAGTTGAGATTTTTGAGACAGTGAGAAGTATTTTTAATCTTTATATAAAAATCACTTTGCTCTTGGAGTAGTGAAAAAAATATTTAATTCATTCACGGAGAAATTGTTAGCAAAAAATACGTCATTAAAAACTTTTTGTTGTACAAACAACATGTAATGTTTACTAAAAGTCTGCCAAATTTTGTGAAAATACACATACTGTCTTAAAAGTTATGATATTAAAACTATATACAAGTAAAAATGATCATGAACAGTCACTGGGACTGAGTCTGTGTTGAAAGAGTTAAAAGTTCATTATATAAATTCAGCACACATTTCTTAATACCTGGAAATGACAGACTTTAAATTAGTATGTTCTTCTATTGTTAACCACCTTGTGTAATATAACCTAAAAAACATTTAGGATTCTTGAATTTATTTACTAAATTAGAAGTTTTTAAGGTAGGTTAAAATCCTTATATTTGATTAAATACTATAATCTGCATACACTGACTTTCTATAATCAAACACATACAGTTAATGAAATGTTTCAAATTAACAAATGGAAGTATGTACATACCTTTCAACCCTTCATAGAAATCAACTAGAATAGTCATATTTTTCCTAAATGTGTAATTTCATGTCTTTATCTTTTCATTTGTAGCTTATTTTGAATTTTCCATTCAAATTCTTTATCTTTTATCATTTATGCTGATACGTCAATTGATGTTCATGGGGCTTTATGAAGTTATTTTGGCAGACTTTCTGCAGAGACGTGTTGCCTAAACAATTTAACTCTCGCTCTCTAACTATGACATATTTAGGAAAGAAACCACTTTAAGTGCTATAGTTGATCAAGCAGACAACAATACTAATGGCAATTACATCTAATTCAATACAAAAACTGCATGCCAATTTCAAATTAACTATTGGTGGAGTACAGCGTAAACTGAGCTCTTTCTAATGACTATATACACTTGTGTCAACTAACTACATGTACATTGTAGATCTCAAGGCAAAGTATAGGAGGGTGGGCATGGCACCCATAAAGGATTGAAAAATTTATTTCCCAGACAATGCAGCTGCATACTAGGTATCATGTGTCAAATAGTTCAAACATATGTACATTAGCATCTAGATACTTGTGTACATTGCCAGCTTATGTGACTAAGAGTGGACCACTGCTAAATTCGAGATTTTTCATAGCACGTGGATCATGTGACACAAAGAAATTAAAATTTAGATACCATGTAAATTCAAATTATAACATACATTATAAAGTTAATTTCATTGACATATATTGATAGTAAAGTGGTTTAATTAAATTTTGAATGTAGTGCAATACCATATGCAGAACAGAATGTAAAAATGGCACTAGGTGCTATAGGGTTCAACTTTGAAGAGCATTTTACATGGTGATGCAGGACCAATTAGCAAGTGATGGAGGTAATGTAGATTCTTTAGCAACACCATCATCTTGTTCATAAATATCAATGTTAAAAAAATGGGATTCTTTGGTGGTAAAGCTTATAAGTTTCTGAAACATATGCTTAGGAGGTTGTATTTCCTTACTGTCCATGTTAATTTTTTTTAATAAAGATTCATTACATACATTTATGGTCTAATGTAGCAGTATTTTCTTATAAAGGTACAATATCAAAACTGACACAATAAACTCCATTACTAAAATTAAAATTTTGTATTTCTTGAGAAAACTCAAAATGTTTTTATATATAATATTGATTTCTAATTAGTGTTTTTAATAATTAACCCAAAACTCCATTGATTCATGATTTTATGTGCTTATGTCAGACACTATTGGTTGAAAAAGACCTCCATCTTTAAATCAGCATATTAGAAGATTTGTAGATGATATCTTTATTGACTTTGTTGAGGTTGAAAACCCAAACCTCTATGAAAATAATGTTAAGCATATTAGTGAAGCACAGAAAAGACATTGTCAAGACCTGAGCCACTCAAAAGCTGTTGAGATAACCAAACATAAAGGTTAAAAAGGCATTGGACTACAAACAGTGGAATGAGCAGAACTGGAGATGTGTGCTCTCTACATTTATTTGCCAATAATCAACAACAGTTTGTTTGGTAGCAGAGAGAAGAAATGTATCATAGTCAATGTACAACATCTACAGTTAGGCATTATGGAGGATCAGTAAGTGTTTGGGTTGCATTTCAGCCAACAGTAATCAACAGAAAGTTGATGGCACCCTGACTACTGACAAGTATAGCTGATTCTGATCCATCATGGCATTATGGAGGATCAGTAAGTGTTTGGGTTGCATTTCAGCCAACAGTAATCAACAGAAAGTTGATGGCATCCTGACTACTGACAAGTATAGTTTATTCTGATCCATCATGGCATTATGGAGGATTGGTAAGTGTTTGGGTTGCATCTCAGCCAACAGCAACCAACAGAAAGTTGATGGCACCCTGACTACTGACAAGTATAGCTGATTCTGATCCATCATGAAGGATTAGTAAGTGTTTGGGTTGCATCTCAGCCAACAGTAACCAACAGAAAGTTGATGGCACCCTGACTACTGACAAGTATAGCTGATTCTGATCCACCATGGCATTATGGAGGATCAGTAAGTGTTTGGGTTGCATCTCAGCCAACATTAACCAACAGAAAGTTGATGGCATTATGGATTATCAGTAAGTGTTTGGGTTGCATTTCAGCCAACAGCAACCAACAGAAAGTTGATGACATCATGGCATTATGGAGGATCAGTAAGTAATTGGGTTGCATTTCAGCCAACAGTAACAGACAGAAAGTTGATGGCACCCTGACTACTGACAAGTATAGCTGATTCTGATCCATCATAGCATTTTCTCAAGAACGTGACTCATTAGGAGGGGATTCATCTTCTAGCAAGAAGGCAATCATAAGCATAGAGCCTATGTGGTAAAATGGTATCTTGATGGTAAAAAGGTTGATTGGACACTCACAGCTATGGCTTGGCCTTCACAGTCTTAAGGCTGTATAAGCTTCTATAAACCTGAGAGTGTCAAAAGGTAACTCAACAATTTAGCTGAATTGTGGATTTTAATAGAGGGTGCTTAAAACAATATTCCCCTATTCTACTTTGATACACTGTATAACAGCATAAAATAAAGTTCATTATTTGTTACTGTATATAAAGCAAAGACCTCTCAATCAAAATACCAGTGCATTATAGAAATTATCTAGTTTTATTTTATACTTTTTGAGATAAAATTTTGTTTTATTAATAAACTCACTACCTAGCCACTATGTGTTTGGGATACCTCTATGTTTGTTGCCTTTGTTTTTCCATAAGTATTTACAGTACTGTTCGTGATATTGTTGTGTGATTTACTCTACTTTTAATTGTTTTGTTTTTTATAATTTATAATTCTTGAAATTGATTATAAAAACAGCTTGAAGGAGAAGAGATTGGTGATTATACATCTTCTAGTGAAATAACAATATCTCCTGGTGGAATTCGTTTTGTAAAGGTGAAATATACTCCGAAAGCTGTAGAGGCTGCTTTCTCATGTTTATGCATCTCTAAAAAGGGTGAGAATTATGAAGGACCGGGAAAGTTTAATGTAAGTAATCTAAACTTTGAAATTTTTGAGCTTTATTTAATTATTTGGTAAACATCATTATTGAACCTTGTGTTTGAAAATACTTTTGTTTTGAAGATTTGTCACAGAGACGAAAGTATAATTCGTCTAAAAACTTCACGTTGTGGAAAAATGTAGTACACAAAATGCATTTTAAAGCAATTTTTTTGGACTGCATCTTCAAAAATTACTAAAAATATAAGCTCCTTAATCCATGTCAGTCCATTGGACCCGAAACTGAATTGCAGAATTTATTATTACTATAATTCTGAATATAATTATTGCATCTTCACAAAATTTGGTAAGCTTTTAGTAAATGTTAAAAATATGTTGTACATAACAAATCACAATCTATATAAACATAATAGTACTGTCTGTTGTATGTCCATGTAACTACTTTGCAGTGTGGGGATGGATCTTCACCAAATTTAGTATGGAAGTTCATTAAGTCCTTGTGGAGGTACATACAAATTTTCAGTTTTGCGGTTTTTACCACTACTTCACCCCCTGTAGAGAGATCTTCACCAAATTTAGTATGGAGGTTCATTGCGTCCATGGGGAGATACATACAAATTTTTAGTTTTCTGGTTGTTATTGCCATTTTTGCAGTTTTTACCACTACATCACCTCCTGTCGATGGAGCTTCATCAAATTTGTTATGGAGGTTCATAGGGTCCGTGCAGAGATATATGCAAAGTTGCAGTTTCTCATTTTTTATTTTGTAGTTTTTATGAGACTTTTTGCAATTTTTTACAATTACATATAAGAGAAGCAACTTTTCATGTCCTTTCATTAAACCTGTCACCACAGGCATCCTTTACTGTGCACGACACAAGGTTTTAGTGAATTTTATTTATCTACTTTTTGTTTGTTATACCAATTAGTATAGCATAAAATCTTAGCTAATAACCCATATTTTAATAGTATACAAGTTTTAAGTTCTTAATTTTATAAGGCAATATTTAAAAAATCCTGAATTTCCTCTAGTGTGACACACGTGACGCATTTTCTCTAGGCATCTCCTCTTATCTATTTTATCCACCATCCCTCCAATAAATACGAGATTCAACATAAATTACTCATTAAAATATCTTCATTGCCCAGACAAACCATAATTTTTATAGCCTTCAGTCTTGTTTAGTTATAGAATCATCAAATTGAAAATCAGACACCTCTTGCCACACCCACTTATCACATCCTCTCTTTCAGGATTTGTTAATAGTTCTTGCATGGTTAATACTAAATTATATATAACTAATATGAAGCCAAGGTTCTTCTAGCAAATGATGTATTATATTATGTTGTCTTCTGAACAGTGAATTGCCAGTTTCTC